GCAGCAGCAGCAGGAGGAGGTGAGGGTATGAATGTGGGTGGTTTAGGGTACCGTGTGCAAGTATCTTTACATATCCAAATGGAGTACTATCCCCTATCCCTAGAACAATATATAGCGCAGACACCAGCAGTAGAGGGGCCCCGTGAGGCCCTCTTTCTTTATAAACTTATTCAGGGTATCTCCTTTTGTCATAGTAAAGGGGTTATACACCGAGATATTAAACCCTCAAATATCTTCCTTACACATGAAGGGACGCCTAGAATTGGGGACTTTGGGCTGGCACTCAGAGACGAAATACACCACCAACAGCAGCAGCAGCAGCAACAGCAGCAACACAACAACTATAATATTAATTTTATCTATAATAATAGTAGTAGTGTGGCGGTGCTCACGCAGCAGCAGCAGCAGCAGCAGCAGCAGCAGGTGTCTGGGGAGGGAGGGGGAGGAATGCATAGAGGGAAGGGGGGAGGAGGGGGGAACACATACACACAGGATACTCTTATGGGGGGAGGGGGGGCCCCCATTGGGGGGGGGGCCCCCAGCGGGGGGGCCCCCATAGGGCCAATGGCAGTACAGGGGTTTACACATCGTACCCTGGATGGGGGGGGCCCCTCGCTGAGGCCCTCTACACCCAAGACAGTACCCTGTTGGGGGGGCCCCCAAGGGGGCCCCCTTGAAGGCAGCAGCAGCCCAGAAGCAGGAAAAACAACAACAGCAGCAGCAGCAACAGCAGCAACAGCAGCAGCAGCAGCAGCAGCAGGAATATCATCATCTCCCGCTGCAGTATTATCTCCTTTGTTAAGAGTGCAATGCCCCTCCTCCTCAGCAGCAACAGCAGCAGCAGCAGCAGACATAAACTCTTCCTCTTCTTCCTCTTCCGCAGCAGCAGCAGCAGCAGCAGCAGCAGCAGCAGCAGCAGCAGCATGTGGTGCAGCAGGGGGGAACAGAACGCGTGGTGTGGGTACTACAGTGTATGCACCACCGGAGCAGCTACAGGGGGAGAGGTATGGTAGCGCCGTTGATGTGTGGGCCCTGGGTATGCTGGGTGTAGATTTGTTTACGCGCGCGGAGACAGTGATGGAGCGTTCGGTGGTTCTGCGTGAAGCTAGAGAGGGGAGATTGCCTGGACCACTGGTCACCTCCTTTCCTTCTGTTGCTGCTTTTTGTTCTCTTTGTTTACAACAAAACCCACATAAAAGACCACTGGCTATACACCTCAAACATATACTCGATCAGGGAGGTCTATTCAGCTGTCTCCTCAGAACACCCAGACCCCTGCTCCAGCCAAGCCCTCCTATATCCCCAGCAGCAGCAGCAGCAGCAGCAGCTGCTGCTGCTGCTGCTGCTGGTGGGGGTGGTGGGGGTGGTGGTGGTGGTGGTGGGGGGGGAGCGGGGGCAGGAGAGCATGGGTTCGTCACGGAGGCGTTGCTGGCGTCTCCTCGGCATCCTTTCTATCAGCAGCAACAGCAGCAACAGCAGCAGCAGCAGCAGCAGCAGCAGCAGTTGCTGCTGCTGCAGGCCAGTCGATTCAGCTGCAAGTCAGGCGGAGACGGCTACTACCTAGTCCCCCCCTCGCCCTTTGCTTTATGTACCCCGAAGACCTCTCCTCTCCCCCCGGGCCCCGCTTCTCTATCCACCAGCTCAATACAAGGTTCTCCCTGGGGGGCCCCCCTGGGGCCCCCCTTGGGGCCCCCCCACCTCTTGGGTACCCCTTTGGGGGCCCCCACCACTCCCCTGGGGGCCCCCCTGGGTACCCCTCTGGGTGCCCCCAGCACCCCTCTAGGGGGGGCCCCCAGTACCCCTCTGGGGGCCCCATCAACTGGGTGTGTGGTGGGTGTTGGTGGTGTGTGTACGCGTTGCAGTGTATGTGAGTATGCGGGGGGCAGCAGCAGCAGCAGCAGCAGCAGCAGCAGCAGCAGCAGCAGCAGCAGCAGCGTGTGTGTGTGTAGCAGCAAGCAGGTGCGTGGGTATGTAGAGGTGAGGTCTAGGAAGGGGGGATGGAAGCCGCGGTGGGTTGGGGTGTCTGCGCAGCGTATGCGTCTGTATATATACACCCACGCATACGATAGAAACCCTCGCCATGTATATGACCTGGGGGGCCCCGAAGGGTACAGGGGCCTCGATCTATACTTAGTACCCTCCCCCACAACCCCAACCACTGCAGCAGATACATCCCCAGAAGGAGACGATCACCACCCCACACACTCTCTAGCTTTCTTAGATATAGATGCAGACTGGGGGGGTCTACCCCCTCCTGTTGCTGTTGCAGGGGGCCCCTGCGGGGGGGGGGGCCCAGGGAGGGGGGGGCCCCGAAACCCCTTCTTCTCTCGCCAGCAGCCCCAGCAGTGCTGTGAGGCCCCACAGTCTCCTCCGCCCCTTCAAGCAGGGAGAGGGGCCCCCACAGCCCCACTCACCCAGCATGCAGCCAGAGAGCAGCAGGGGAGGGGGGGGGGCCCCCTGCCCCTGCGGGGTAGAGGGGGCCCCCAAGAACATCAAGGCACCTGCTGCTGGTGGCGGTGCGGGGGGTCCTGCTGCTGCTGCTGCTGCTGCTGCTGCTGCT